GGAATGCAGTTTGATGCAGCCACTGTGGAAAACAGTATGGAGATTCCTCAAAAGACTAGGAATAGACTTACCATATGACCCAGGAATCCCACTCCTGGGCTTGTATCCAGAAGGAAATCTACTTCAGGATGACACCTGCACCCCAGTGTTCATAGCAGCACTATTTACAATAGCCAAGACATGGAAACAGCATAAATGTCCATCAACAGATGACTGGATAAAGAAGAGGTGGTATATTTATACAATGGAATACTATTCAGCCATAAAAACCGACAATATAACGCCATTTGCAGCAACATGGATGTTCCTGGAGAATGTCATTCTAAGTGAAGTAAGCCAGAAAGAGAAAGAAAAATACCGTATGAGATCGCTCATATGTGGAATCTAAAAAAAGAAAATAAATACAAAACAGAAACAGACTCATAGACATAGAATACAAACTTGTGGTTGCCAATGGGGAGGGGGGTGGGAAGGGACAGACTGAGAGTTCAAAATCTGTAGATACTGACAGGCATATGTAGAATAGATAAACAAGATTATACTGTATAGCACAGGGAAATATATACAAGATCTTGTGGTAGCTCAAAGCGAAAAAAAACGTGACAATGAATATATGTATGTTCATGTATAACTGAAAAATTGTGTTCTACACTGGAATTTGACACAACATTGTAAAATGACTATAACTCAATAAAAAATGTTTTAAAAAACAAAATAAAAAAACAACAAAAAAGACTTGCTTTATTATCTTAATATACAACAAATATTTTTACATCATTAAAAAGTTAGTCTGCAGAATATTCTATCATACGGCTGTATCATAATTTAACAATTCCTCTATTCTTCATACTCTCAGATTTTCATTTTTTTAAAGACTCACTGTTGAAAAAAATCATAAAAAACATTTCTGTGCTTAAGTTCATTCTCTGCATTTGTGAGTGTCTGTTAGAATCCACTTCTGAGGGGGGGATCACTGACGTGAGGGTGTGAGGTGCTCTGAGGCTCGGAGGCCGGGGGCTGGGCTCCCTCTCAGGGAGGTTCCTCCCAAGGCGGGGCCCTGGGCAGTGCAGGTGGGCGCCCTTTCTCTGTGCTCCTGCCCACACTGACAATGATCAATTTTTAATCTGTGCTAGTGAGAGGCAAAATGCGGCCTCAATGGTGTTTTAATTTGCAGGTCGGAATTACTCCTGAGGTTGGACATTTTTTCAGGAGCTTATTAGCCATTTATCTTCCTTCCCCTGTGAGCCATCTACCCGTGCAGCCAGAGTGCTTCTAATGTCCCGGCTAGCAAAGGCCTTCCCAGCCCCCACTTTGAAGGCAGCCCAGAGCAAACTAGTGCTCTCGCCAAACAAAAGGTCAGAATATTTCCTAAGTTTCACTAAAAAGGCCAATTTCAGTTCATCGTCTGATAACTCAAAAGGAACTAGTAACTGTCAGACGGGTTTGGACACGCCCTGATACCCAGGCTCTCCTCCTGTTGGGCTCAGCAGATGCAGAGAGGCCCCGCTCTCAGCAGCCTGAGGTCAGGACACACACTGGATCCTGTGGCCACCAGGATTATATTTGTGATTATCTGGGGATCTCTTTTAAACGATTCCGACTGAGTAAATATCACACCACATTACCTACCTCCACCCTTCACGAAAGTGGAGCCAGGTGTGCCCACGGAACAGGGGAGGGAAGAAAATGAAATGCCGTAACACTCACTGCGAGCCCAGCCCTGGGCCAGGTGTGCGAAACACACCTTCACCTTTTCTATTACAGTGGCCTAAGGACGCGCGCACGCTTTGCTTCCTTTTACAGGTGCGATGAAGCTGTGTGCGTGTGAGCACCTGCCCGGTGTCACAGAGCTGGCAGCCTCTCAGCAGCCTGCCTCTCAGGCTGCTCTGTTTTTGCTCTATCTGCTTAGCCAGAGCGCCTAAAGGGGAGGTTATTTTTGCTCGTTCCGTTGTCAGAGCCGGCATGGGACACAGACCCGGTGACTGCAGACCCTGCCACCCACACGAGCCACCATGCTCCCCAAATTTACAGCAACCTTCCTCTCCGCCAGCCCCAGAGCACATGATGTGGTGAGTGTCCCAAACGTGGTATTTGCCTTTCCCAAAGGTGATAAAATCGAGGCACCAGAAGTTGAGTAACTCACCCACGGTCACCCCGCTTAAAACCCTAGAGCCAGGACGGCAACTCCAGGACCTGCGGATCGTTCCCCCAAAGCACAGAGGAGTTCTGCCCGCCTCTCTGTCTCTGTCTACATGGTCCTGGGGCACAGCTCTGAGCCTCCCCGCCCTCCCCCTTCCTCCCCTCAGGAAGGGGTGGCAGCAGGAACCTCTGAACTGTTTTCCTAAAGCTGAGTCCTCACGTGCGAACTCTGCACCCGTCGTGACACACCGCTTACATAAATAAGTCCCAAGAGCCAGTCCTGTTGGAGGAGGAGCCACTGCCTGGTGCCCTGGGAGGCCCCCTTGCTCTAAGTCCACCTACCAAACTGGCAGGAAGCCCCCTGACTGGGGACAGCAGTGCCCCCTGGTGACGGCAGCAGCTGGAGACAGAGCTGTGTGCAGAGTGGCTAACAAACCAGTTGCCTGGCGAGGACTCTGCGGAGGAGGCCCCATGCTCATCAGAACTGCTCATGGAGAAACTAAAGTGGAGGTGTTGGGGGACCCCGGTGTGGACAGAAGGGGAGAAATCCAGAGCCACTGAGGGGAGGGAGAGAGAAAAACCCTCTACCGCAGTCACCCCCAGGAGGAGGGAGCTGGGGCCCCGACAGCAGCCCTCATCCATCCCACAGGCACCGAGTGGCAGCAGGACACAGAGCATGGAGCCTGGGCTTGGGACAGACCACCTGGCTGGGACTCCCAGCTCTGCCCCGACGTGAACATGGCCTTGGGCACTGCCCTTTACTCCCTTGAGCATCTCTGTGATCAGCAGTACTGACCTTGAGGAAGGGTGAGAG